CCCCCACACAAAACAACTAACAAATAAACAAAATAAACTACATGAGCAACTATGCAAAATCAGGGGTGACCCAATTGCTTTGCGTCAAATATAGGCATGAGCTCTGCTGTCAACCACATTAAATCCCCATCAGACAGATTCCGGCACAACACGGAGAGCAGTTCATCCACAGATCCCCTAGAAGCTCTAATCGTATTTCTACATTCATACCCTATCCAGCCTGTAGATCCGTCCGATTCTTCCTTACCCACACACACCAGCAGCAGCCCCGGAGAGGAAGACTTTGTTTTGTCATAACTAAGGATAAATATTATATTGTCCTATTTCCTAAATAGTTCCAACCAAGTTCTTATCTGAAAGTATCAGTACCATATGTTCTCGAGAACAACAAAGCTTTCACTAAAAACAATTCTCGAGAACACATGAATTTATGCTGTCCTTCAATTGTGCAACAATTAATTTTTTTTTTAAACAACCAACATAAAAAAATACAAAGATGAAAAAGGTAGCGCATTTTTTTCAGAGCCAGGGAAGTAGGACGTCAGATGGTATCTGTATTTCACAACATTTTAAGATGTATGTCATCTCAACATGTAAAAGGAGCTTATAGATGGGATAAATTTGCAGAAGTGAAATATGCTAATAAAAGTGGTAACAATGAAAACGCTTAACATGCTACAACCTTGTATGTCTCTTGAAGGACTGAGAAAGTAATCAGAATAAACTGATAGGGAAAGGGAGTTACTGGTAAGTCAAGGGCCTTCTATCAGAATGGAGGAATGTAACTAGGCAAGGTAGCAAAAACCACAAACACACTCACATATGAATACTATATCATAATTCTAATTTCTGTTGTTACTATCAACCGAGGGTGCGGTGGTGGAGTGCTTAGTGCGTTCGTCTCCAAAGCAGAAAGTCCGGGTTCGAGCCTCGTTTCGGACATAGATTTTTTTTCGCCCCCTCCTGCCCACTCAGCAATAATGGGGACCCAGGAAGTTGTCTCACAAACAAGGCAATCCCCAATGTCTGGATCGGATGCAGGAACAACTTTCCTTTTTTTTTTTACTATTAACCATCAATAACAACCCCCCCCCCCCTTCTACACACTTCAAATCACAAAACACATCTCAAAACAGAAGACAGCATGCTCTCAGAGCCATTTTGTAGGAGGACTTTCCCTTTATTGATCGTAGACTTGGGAAGAAAGACAAATACGCAGCATTGCCTCAAAAACTCAAACTCCTCAGGACGGGACGACAAAGCCTTTGGGGTTTTTCACTGTGGTGGCGAATAGTTGGAGGCAGCCAATGACCATTATAGTGTTGATATGCTTCTCTTTACTTAAGCAAACAAACAAAAACTCACAGAGACGAGCTCACACTGGCATCATCATGGACCTCTTCATAAACATCAGATGAGTACTTAAGTATCAACTAACACTATACACCTCTATACCTTGTGGAGGGCATGCTCACCAGCAGCTGCTAGTAGTAGTAGCAGGTTACAAATGTGAAAATTCACGTGATCAAATTTGAGCAGAGTTCAAATTTGGCCGTCAGTCCCTGAAGAATAGCCTACTTTGTCCACAGTTCATTGGGAGACCAAGTGTCACTCCTTCAAAATAATTAATATTGTGTTCAGCTCTCATTGTTGGGAAAGCACGTAAGGCTGAATGTACATTTGTGAGTGTGAGATTGGATGTACATACATGTTTATATCTGCTTGTTTGTATTAGTTTTAGTTGGGCTTTAGAAAGAGTTTCACTGCACATGCAACACAAATAAGTCATGTAAGTGCCAAAGATTAGGGGTATTACGTGAGAGTATAATACCTAGAAAAGAAGGAGGAGAGAAAAGGACAATAGATGTTTGATAGGAAAGAAGAATCAAACCCCATCAGAGCACCTGTCAAACACCCACATCCGCATATTTGAAGGTGCAAGGAAAAGTATAGAGGACACAAAGAAACATATAAAGCATAAAAGTAGGACGGATGTGGACAGACATTCCAGGTCTAATTTCATCAAGAGTTTTATGGCACTTGCCATAAAATAAGATCATATAAGTCCCGAAGATTAGACCTGTTACAAGAGAGCAACAGACACCAAAAAGAAGGAGGAATGTTTAGGACAATACATGTATGATAGGAAAGAAGGAGTAAACCACGCCAAAGCACCCATCAACCAACCACATCCCAAAAATTTGTACGTGCAGGGAAAAGTTTAGAGGACACACAGAAACACATAAAGCACTAAAGTGGCACCAAAGTGGACTGATGTCCCAATAGCACAAAGGATTACAAAACATCAGTATAATGTTTCCAAGCACTCACCTTGGTCATGAGCCGTGCTATGTGTATGGCAGTCTGTGTGTGCAGGGTGATCGGACCACACAGGACTCGGGTCTGCCCCTGTGCCAGAGCCATCAGCAGGATCAGCTAGAAAGAGCAGTCGTTAATATATGTCAGAGGCAAGGACTGGTTTACAATGGGTTGCAAACAAAATAACTTTCTCAAAAAAAGTCAAGCTAAGCCACATGCAACTACTTCAAGAGTTTGTTTTCCATAACCATGAAGCCCAGTGAGTTTGTAATTTTCATCCACCTATGTTATTGCACTTGAATCTAATTTCAACATATTCTAACATTAAATACACTGTTTGTGGCATCGATGTAACAGAACAGTTGATAATGTTATAAACTCACAGAAAAAAGTCAAAGAACAACAATTCAAAGAAAGATAACTGAAAAACATTTTACCCGAAATTATTAATTTTGGCCAAAAAGATGCTTTCGACTCTCTAGATTATGTGTGTACAATTTCAGATTTCAACAACAACGAGAAGTTAAAGCTTAAATCACACTGGTCAGATTTCAAAAGTCTGAACAGCCATGGTTCTTCATGAACATTGTCAATAGTGGGTGTAGCCACACCGTTTGATCAAATACTCCGTACAGCGTCGACGCATGGACAGGACATGCCTTCCGAGAACCTGTCATGCCTTCCAAGAACCTGTTGGGGTAAGTTCTGCACTCCTGGCCGAGGTAGCCCAAGAGTTATTGAAGGTGTTGTGCAGGAGGGTGGTTGTCCCTTATACGCCGGTCGATGTGATCCCAAATGGTCCAATCTGCTGCCGGAGAAGAACAGCAAGGGGACGCAGGATTTCGTCCCTGTACCCTACCGCAATCAAATTGCCCTGTACAGAGGGGTCCTGTGGTGATCTGAGAAACCTCCCCACACCAGAACGGACCCTCCATTGTAGGGCGCCACTTGCTGGATGCACTCAGGGTGGAACAGCTCTCCCCGGCGCCTCCAGACGTGCAGCAAGTTGAATCTGGATTCATCAGAGAAGACCACCTGGTCCAATTGATGTCGTGTCCACCGTGAATGGCGAGCAGACCACACCCGGCCAGCTGCTTTGTGGGGCGGCGTGTGCCTTGGCCACCTGGCAGGGACATGAAAAGTGAACCTGGCTCTCTACGGATACAGTTTCTCACAGTCTCCTCGTCCACGTGGACATTGGCTGTCATCCGTAGTTGGCCCCTGATGTGGTTTGCAGTGGTGGTTCGTGACGTCACGGCGTGTCTAACAATGAACCGGTCAATCCTGTCGTTGGTCAAACGGGGCCATCTGGTCAAGGCCTATCCTGGACCTTCCAGTCGCTCGCCATAGTTCTTGCAGCCTCCATATGATTGATGGGTACACCCGAAGCCGATGTACGACTCGGAATGAGGAGCCATCTTGGAGCCAGGCAAGGGCTCGTCATCTGTTGACACCAGGCAGCGAGCGTCTTTGGACCATCATGTTGTAATGAAACATGGCTGAAAACGCTGGTTTATAAAGGGTAGCAAGTGAGCGATATTCACAGCCAAGACATCTGTTTAGCACGTGTCAAACTCAGTTTTAGCCAATGTTTCTGAGGCAGAGCAATTTAGTCCATTTTTTATGCTTTTCGGGTGTGTTTTGGGAATGTCCGTGTCGTCACTGTGAAGCTCGTGTGGATAAATTTGCTGTACATACAAACTGCGTCTAGTTGTCAATGCGTGTGCAAAGATTGGTTGACTTAACTTAACGGATTTGTGAGATATTGAAGTTTAGCTTTGACAGATGAAAACACAAGTTGTAACTTAACTTTTTCGTTCGAGTTTATTATACAATAACGAAAGAGAGGGGACTCTCGTGGCCTAGAGGTTAAGGTGTTCGCCTCTCATTCAAAGGTCCCGGATTCGAATCCGGGTAGCGATCGAAAAATTTTCTTCTCTAAAATTGTCTCCTACTCTTTTCCTACTCTCTAGCAATGTTCTGTCATCTGCCCCCCCACCCCCTCTGCTCCCTCCTCTGGGCTCCTGACTCTTTCTGCAGCCTTTCTACCGCTACTCCTTGACTCCTTCTTAACACTGTCTTCCAGCCACACCCCTGATCTTCTGGTAGGAAAGATCTACGCCTAGCCTCCTTGGACAAGGGCGAAAAATCTTTGAGGTCCCGAGTGCAAGTTGCGCACGTTAAAGACCCCTTGGTGGTCTACAATCAATAAGAGTAGGTTTCGGTAGCCACCCAGGCAAAATTAAAAATTTCCTTCCAACTGAAAATGTTTAATGTGTCCTGTGCGTTCATATGTCCTTATGCAGTTGCGAGCACTGTAAAACACTTACCAAAAAAAAAGAATAACGAAAGAGAGGGTGCTTGAAGTCTTTACAGTGAAACTGAACTACTCTGGTCATTTAGTCTACGTTTTGCAAGAAACACAACCAATATACTAAAAACCAATTTGGGGCTTTACTGCAGCTCCAGCTCATATTCACGCCTTGGTTATCAAATAATTTATGTAATAATTTCCCAAAAAGTTGGTCCTTGACATTGTCATGAATGAGTACACCCCCTCCACCCCACTCTTGCAACTCAACTTCACACAAAAAATACTCACTTGATCTTGCAAATGTTCATCCACACATCCCCCACTATGCACTGCAGTGGCCAGTTCTTCTGATGCTTCTCTTCCAGCATCTTCTGCAGGAGTCTCTGATGACAAGAGGTTTGCAAAAAAAAATCTGAACCAAACTGAAAAGTAGACCCTGTTGACTTTCTTCTTTCTTTTATCCGCTGCTTATACCCTTTTGGGTGTTGCGGGAAGAAAGAGACGTCTCTCTCCCCCCAGCCGGAGAGTTGGGTCAGGGGGATGCGATGAGTCATTAATGTTTCCCTGACTAAATCTATCCAGGTCTTTCTCAGTTGCCCTCTAGCCTTGTTGCCATCAAATTTGTTTATGTAGGTATGTTGTGCTGGGTGGTATGCTGGTAATCGCATGAGATAACCGAACCATTTGATTCTTTGGTGTTGGATGTGATGCATGACATCATCTGTGCCCATCATTTCTCCGATTACTGTGTTTCTAATTTTGTCTCGCCTGGTCTTGTTTACTGCTTTCCTAAGGTATCGCATTTCACACGTTGTAATTCTTTGCTCTAATGTCTTGTTCGTGGTCAATGTTTGGCATTGATAGGCGAGTATTGGGATGAATATGGTGTTGATCATTTTGAGTTTTGTTGTCAATCTACCCTGTTGACAATCTACTAAAACACCAGATTCCCATCTGAACTTACATGTCCTTAGTATTCCTCTAGCAGCAAGAGTCATCTCCCTCTACTCAACCGCTGACTGAAGCGTATCAATGAGGCATTTTGTTGTTGCACATAGGAGGCCTGAGTCTGATTCATATGTAAGAATTACATCCCCCACATAACATAAATGGTTACAATGCAGGTCACAGAGTCATCAGGGCAACAGTTAAATTTTATGGAGAAACAAGCTGGGATAAAAGAAACATTGAGGACCAGTGCTGTCGTTGTAAGGGAAAACGACGAATAGTCAAAATTGTTCGATTTTTTAATTTTTATATATTTCATAGAGTATTTAAATCTGCATCTGAGGGTGTAAAAATTTTGTCATATCCAAATCTGTTGTTGCGTAATTGTGAGTTCGTCGTTTTCCCTTACACTGGCGAGCTCCGAGCCAGAGCTAAGAGTAAGGGAGAACAACGAATGGTCGATCGGTCGAGGATCACTGTTCGTTCGGCGTTGTCCCCTGGTCTCTGCCGTTGGGTAAATTCGGCATGGGCGACGAATGACAACGGGCCACTGTTGCGTCAGTACAAACATACTAGGCCTTTTTAGCAAACAAACACACCACCACCCCCTCCCCCGGAGTACTGTCGACCAGGTTTATAAGATTGTATCTCTTAGTGTGTCTTTCTGTCTGTCTTCACGTATTAGGTCTATGCTGATGGCGTGAATTGACAAGAGCAGGCGGGAGAGAGGGGAAAATGGATGAGAACAGGGGGAAAGGGATGGGGATGGGAGGGTCAAAAAAGTATTTAGGGAGAAATTTATTAGCACTGCATATTAGTGTCCGCCCGATGTTCATAGACTAACGTCACGTTAATTTGCTGTCCTGTCATATCTGGTGAATTACAGCTTAAAAGAGTGAAAAATAGAAAGTTATAAAGTGAAAACAGTTTTTGCCTCTCCTGAAAAATTTGCCTCGCTACCTGTGCAGGACCATTCGTCGTTTTCCCTTACGACGGCAGAGTGGAAGAAGCAGACCACACTAGAGCACACAGCACCCCCCCCCTCCTCAAAGACACATTTCATGTTATGTATTCTATATTATGAATATGAAAATGTTTTGGGTCACTCTTAACAAATTTTCTCATGTTGATGTCCACCCCCAACAAACTGACTTGCAGACTTACTTGGTTTTCCAAGGGCAGATCCACCTAGAAGGCATCCAGTGCTTGTCTCAGCAACAATTCTGAAATGCAACACATTTAGATGTTTTGGCATTGACAGACGACAGCTTTTCCCCCTTTAATAATTTAATTCTAAAGACCATTTCTTCAAAATAATTTTTCACACCATCCAAACATACAGAGTGAAATTCAACACGAAAAAATAACATTTTATTTGAGAACAGTATCCTTCCATCAAATATCAATCAGCCACCAGCTATGTAATCATCATTTCTGCGAGCGACAAAGAATAATTTTCCCTTAGAAAGTATAACAGAGCCCCTAAGGAAGCAGTTACCGTACTACAAGATGCCTTATTCAAAGGCACACCCAGTGAGCACCCATCTAAACATCATGGTTATTTAAGAGTTTTTGGTATTTTCATCTAACTAAGTTCACACAGTGCTTGACTCCCAGAGCCCGCTCACACTATGCTAATACAGGTGTTTCGGGTCAATTCCCCCACTTTGCATGCAAAAGATGTGAGACCAATGCCTAAACAATGAGGGTTTTTACTGATCATCTTCCCCGCCTTCTGGGGTGTATCACGCACAGCCCGGCAGAGACAGAAGCTCCCAGAGGCTCGTGATCAGAACTGCTGTGCCGGTGAGCCACTGGGGTACTGGGGTACATTCCTTTACGATGACTTCAATATCAAATTACTTTTCGACAATTGCTGAAAATAGGTCTCTATTATGAGGAGTTCAGTCATTAGATGAAGAACTATCAAAATAGTTTGTTTTTTAAAAT